TTGTGGCTTAGTGGATAACACTCACTGAGAGGCAAGTACGTACGACTGACGAGTCCTAGATAGGACGAAGCTCCCATCGTAGACTTCACTGTATTCATCACTATTGACTTCTCGTTATTGTTCCCTTTATTGATTTACTTTATTTTTTTTGACCTATATAGTCTTCTCATTTTAACCGATAATCATTTTCCTACCCTTTAACTCTGTACATTTTCATATGAACGCCAATATGTAACAGATCAGATTGTTAAAATTCTCTTACATAAAAATATATTATCAATTTGACCATCAGTCGCTTGTTCGAATCCTGCTGTGACCCAGATTTTTATTCCACTCTCAATCATCACCCAGTAAAGAAATACGTAATGTAACTGAGATAAATCACGTCTTCTTATTGTCTTATTAAGATTATTATGATTATTATTAGTTAATAATTCACTTATACACATTTCTGTTTATTTTAATTTCGTCTAGGTACTGCTACCTGATGGATCCAAAACTAGTATTTGTGTTCATTCAGTTGTGAATGCAGCAGGTCCATGGGCAGCACATGTCGCTGAGTTAGCGGAAATTGGCAGTGAACACTTTCCAGTAGGATTACCAGTTGAACCAAGGTTACTTACTAGTAAATAACCTGTATGCTTTTGTCTACTATTCTGTAGTTGACTCTTTTTTTTGTTAAAATTCCAAACACTATCAACTAGTTAGCCGTGATAGCAAGGAAAATAAAGTTGTATGAGAGAATAAACAATCTGAAGATAATAGTGGGTTTAGATGTCAAGGAGTGAATGCATCTCAGCTATATCACCTAGAGTCCTCAACTACTGATTTCTTTCGTCTCAGGGACTCCAACCAGCCAGTCTACATCGTCTGGCACGACTCGCACCAACATTAAGAGACTTCACCGACTGGTACTAGGTCTTGGTCTGGCCACCTCAATCCTTTTCCAACTTGATCCAACGTCAAGATAGACGGTGACTTTCATGGCATGCCATCTCAGTCGAAGAGATCTGTGATCAAAGCCCTGTAACCGCTTCTTGTTTTCTACTTTCAACGGATATGTTTCACAACCGTACAACAGGCCAGAAAGAACCACATTACAGTTAACTCGTCCTTTGATAGATATTCGGATATCTTGCCAGTCGGCCCTATATATGACGCAAGTTGGTACATGCCAAACGCGCCTTCTCTTTTCGAACGGAGAGTTCGCCAAAATTGTAGACTGGCATGATAGAAAGTCATTAGGGTGAATTGAAGGTCTATAATATTTTAACACTGACGAAAAAGGCAGGATACCATAAATCTATGAAACTTAAAAGTTTTCGTCTATTGAATCCAATGTTCTTGATAGCATGCTTCCATAGTGCTTTCAGAGAAATATGTCTTGATGTAAACTCATTTACAGTGTTCAGTTGTTTTCAAACTTTTTAACCATACAGACAGAAGATGATCAAATCTAGGAGAATCTAATGAGTAGGGTAAATGGTGTATGTGCACACTCACACAAAGTCGTTTTGTTTGTATATTATCTTATGCATAAGTGGACTTCTTTTCACTGCTTTTCTATACCTTATTTGACCTGTACAACTAGTTCCAGTGAACAGTATCTTTTCATCGATTGCCTAATGTCATGAAAGTTAGTCGATTACAATCCCTTAATGTCAAAACACCGATTATGATGTATTCATCATTGTTTACAAGTTTAAATCCTTTCATCATCGTATGAACTTGTATAAGGTCTTATGCAATTGTTCCTACTGGTCTGTAATTACTCCTAGTTTAAGGGTAGGGAGTGAAGTCATGCAATACGTTGACCACTTCACTTCAACCCGAATGACCTACTTCCAAACGAAGTCTCAGCTTGGAACAAAATGCTCCTTTGGTATTTACCAACCTGCATCATCCGTGACGCCAAAAAGCTAATTAAGGATAATACATCTCTCTCCCACTGAATAAAACTGGCATCATTTAACATTGTAGTCATGGATGTTGTCATCGGAATAACCAAGTCACAAGGAAATCTTTTTCTAAAACGGAATTTTAAGCACTCAAGCATCATTGGATAGTTCCCAACATCATATTGCTCAATCCTGAGTACAGATCAAATTCTATTGGACAGATTACATTGTGTGTTAGCATATGATGGCAAAATTGATTCCCTAGGGAATTTTTTACTTATTACTTCACAATCTTAAGACAGGTGGTCTAATTGCTAAACTATACCTGTGGTCAGTAAAATTCGATCAGTGCTACTCAGTGAACAACATAGCTATACTGGGGTCGAATTACTTGACTTCTGTTGGTAGATGGGCTCCTTTGCAGATGCCTCGGTACTAATGGATATTCATTATGTTGTAATCATCTTGGTGACTTGAAGCGGAATGCAGTACGCGTTTTTCTCCCTGTTCGTGATTTTTCAGCTGGTGGATGTATCTGTATCCTAGTGAGTGATTTCTTTCCCCGTTGTCATACTGTATTCGAGTCCTGGAATCCATTGTTAGTCACCATGTCGACTACAATTACTTTACTTATTATCCAGTAGAATTTAATAATGCAGATCTTATTGTTCCCTTTTCTTTCATTAAAGATATCGTCAAATCTTTGTAATACGACCTAAAAGTACACTTAATTCTCAGGAGAATAATCATTCACTGCCCGGCTTAAATACACCATTTATAATAGATCATAATCGTTTATTTATTGAACGTCGTGATCTTTCCGGTGAATTTATTGTCTATTCTGATAATCCTAAATTTGATTCACTTATGGAAAAAAAAGTAAGTGATACTTTCATTATATATATATACATATAAACTATTATAGATTATATTTAATATTATACCATCTCTTGTTAATCTATTAACCTCATTGACTTGCCATCGCTATGCACGATCAGAGTGGATGAGCGACATGTAAAAAACTAAACAGTTCACACTATTTCCACTAGAAAAATTAAATGAATTAAACAATCTTTACATTTCAGTGTACGTCAACAGCATAAAAATATAATGTGAATATACCTACCTACCTACCTACCTACCTACCTACCTACCTACCTACCTACCTACCTACCTACCTACCTACCTACCTACCTACCTACCTACCTACCTACCTACCTACCTACCTACCTACCTACCTACCTACCTACCTACCTACCTACCTACCTACCTACCTACCTACCTACCTACCTACCTACCTACCTACCTACCTACCTACCTACCTACCTACCTACCTACCTACCTACCTACCTACCTACCTACCTACCTACCTACCTACCTACCTACCTACCTACCTACCTACCTACCTACCTACCTACCTACCTACCTACCTACCTACCTACCTACCTACCTACCTACCTACCTACCTACCTACCTACCTACCTACCTACCCACATGTTATTTGAGGTGTTTTCTGGGTCTTGATCTTGATGGGAACAACAGCACACCGGGAAGTAAGTACACCTAACTGATGGTTCTTGAATAGGACAAAACGCTGCTAATCACTGTTTATCTGTAATATTAGCATTGAAATATCAGTTATTTAGAGGCATCCAGACAGGAGACCATCAACGAGCGATGACTGACCAAGTCGGTCCGAAACAATCAACAACGAAAAATCTTTAGTCGTAATACTTATCTCGTTTGTTTATTGGAAACACAAATGTACAGTTTAATAAAACAACATAAGGTGAGGTATACATGTTAAAAGCGAGACAGACAAACCAACATAGAATCTTGTGCAGATATATATCAGTTCAAGTTGCGTTACTTCACAACAGCACCAAAAAGGTAATTCAATGGGAAGAATCCAATTAAATGTAGACGAAAGTGTGCAGCTAAATACTAGAATTCCCAAAAATGATAAATACCCAATACATCTGTGTCATTTCTATTCATTTCCAGCTATGTAACTAAACGGTTTTAGTCATTAGTTGTTTACATCTTAAACTGTGCCTTTTATTCAACTCAAACTAACAGTTATAGGCTTTACAAACGGGTTAACACTGTGTTGAGGTAGGCCATAGGTAGCCAGAGAGATGCAAGGAATATCCAAGTTCACAACCTTTTCGATTGACATACCTTCTTTGCTGAAATTCAACACTACTTACTCTGTTGTACCACCACACGCAAGCAATAATATAACAATATTGGGAGTATATACATGACATGTTGAAAGTAGAATACATGAAGCGATTGCAGGTGTCTTCATAGCATCACTCACGTTTAGTGGAATCACACCACCGTGTGAACAATGTTGAGGTCAGACGAAGGGCATTGGGTAAGACAGGCTAGCCGATTGTTGTAAATTTAAACCTTCATTGTATGGCTTCAAGTAGATGCTCTGTGGTTTGTCACTAATCCTTCTTACTCAGGTACTTCTAGAAGAACTAAGTTTCCTCGGTGTAGTCAGCTGGAAGTGTCAACCGCCTGCATGCTTCCCTGTCCCCTTTCCAGGTAGAATCTCAAGGTAATAAGTAAATCATTTCAAGAATTTAAGTGTTCAGTAGTAATTGCACTACAATCGAATTATATATATATATATATATATATATATATATATATATATATATATATATATATATATATATATATATATATATATATATATTCCATAGGCTATTGTCTACACCTTCATTTACAAAACATTTTGTTTTATCTAGAATTAATATCTTGTTTTTCGATTTATTTTTTCTTCCCAACCACGAACAGCACAACAATTTGAATTCTAATTCACCGGTGGATTATGGCTTTTTCTATGAGCATATTGAACCGTTACTGTGTAAGCGTATACCAGGATTTAAGGATGCTGAGGTAAACAATTCATCTTGAATGTGATAACTTCTTCTGTGTTATTTATCTTCTAATCTTCAGTACATTTTAGGTTGGTATTCATCACAGACCGATCGACATCATTTGAAGAACTATTGAAAACCTGGAATCATTGGACAGCTGTTTCATTCTTGTCTAGGACTCCTCAGTAGTGCGCACCTGTGACCTACCAGAGGTCCTCGTGGCGAGCATATTTTCATTCAGTCACTGGATCAGAATACAATTGCCTACATTTTCTCACTTCTGTCAATTCGTAATATAGCGTGACCAATATCTAATGTTGTTGGCGAGCGTTCGTTCTCACACCTAACTTTGTTTACCCCTACAGGTGACGACTTCTCACCAGAACTTCGGAAATTTTCATCTCAAAGCACTAGATAGTAATTTAATTTAGAGGTTTGTGAGGAGGATTACTTAGTTTCAAGGTAGTACTCATCAACCAAAGAAGTGTACTTCACTTCAGACTTGAAGATATTGGGTGTGTGTGTGTATCTGTGTGTGTAAATATCCAACTCGAAGGATTTTTATTCCCTACCTTAATTAATCTGAGAGTAGAAGTAAACTTTAGCTACCACCAATCACCTTCAAGCATGTAATGACTAATCAGAATCAAGAGTATAGTGGAGAACGTAATTACTAGGGAAAACTACTTTATTAGCGATCTATAAATTTGTTCTCTATGAGCAATAAAGATTTTTGATTTTTAATAGGTTTATGATTTTTCGAACTATACTATTGTCCATATAAGACCATGACATCCCCTCGTGATTCCATTAAACATGTAAAGAACTTTCTAAGATGATCTCACTTTCAAAGTTGTTTGTTTGCACTCCAGCTGTTCGATTAACGAAAGGCTTCTCGTGAGCAATAGCTTGATTATTCTTTGTCCGTTGAAATTCAACTGGAACATAGGGTTTTCTCTAGTACATCGCTATCCTACTCTCTTCTCTGCAGTCGTTTTAACCTTGCTCCACCACTGCCCATAAGCTATCATTTCTTCCCCACACCATCTCCTCCATGTCACCATCAGACGCCCAACTCGTCGTTTCCAATTTGGGTTCCACTTGAGGGTCTGGCCTGATGCGTCATATCCCCAATCGGTCTCCTCAGTGTATGTCAAATCCAATCCATCTCTACTTTATTCTTCTGTATATTTGTTTGGCGATAGGTTCTTGGTCGGTTGGTTCGTTGACAGACAGCCACGGTGAGTTCCTTGTTGCTCATTCTTAATATTCTGGTCATCTGATCTAATCTTCAGTATCCAGCGAGCGGGCGTAGGCGGCAGTTGTTGATGATGTACGTCTGCAGTTTGTTGGAAATGCTTTTCATAAGGCGCCAAGTCCCTCAACCATCACATACATAGAATCGCTGACTTACTTGACTGACTTAGTGTTGAAAATCCGGATCTTGTTCACGCTTTATGCTGAGTGGAGTGAAGTAGATCTCCACACTGATTATTTCAGATTAATGCAGGAAGGCTTGTCTTGTTGTCTTTCCGATGCTGGCTTTGACATCGTCATGTGTGCCACCGCCTGCAGTTTAAACGATGCTGCCTAGATAGGTAAGTAGGTGAAAGAGACAACTTACTTTAGATTTCTCCCGTTGATGATGATTGGTGCCTGTTGTTGTTGTTGTTGTTGTTGTTGTTGTTGTTGTTGGTTGGTTGGTTGGTTGGGTATCTTCATCACCTGTGTCTTCTCTACGCTCACATGAAGGAAGTGGCGTCTTCTCTGCCTCACCTCGCATCGCCTCTTCTGCCAACTTTTGTTAGTTTCCACCTGTGTACATCTTCGAGTTTGTGCGACAAGATATGAGACATAAATCATCATCGTTGGCGAAATCCAAATCTTCCTCTGGGATCTTTCCATCACTACAGACAGTGTATACCTTTCTTCTCACAGCTCTTCACAGTTTGTTGCATGATCCAGTTCAGTCGAGTCGAGTCGAGTCGAGTTGACTACAATCAGGAAGATGATAGGTGATAGTAGGCGACAACCTTGTCTTACACGTCAACCTGTCTTCACTTCAAATGCATCACTGAGTTACTTTCCATTGTCAATCACTTGGCATACAGCATCATCATCATATAGCATACAGCTGGTGTTGAATGAGGTTGACAAATGTTTATGGCACTAAAACCGTAGTGTTGAAGCAAATGCCTGCCAAGTTACTTCTCAGTCGACGCTGTCGAAGGCCTTTTCAAAGTGGATGAAGTTGAGGTGGAGGTACAGTGGACTAGCATTCTATGCTGTGTTCTATGATGACGCACATCGTAGTGTAGCGTTTCGTTGCAATTTGATCCGCACATGATTTGTTTTTCCTGAAACCAGTCAGTCAGCTAGCCAGCAAACCTGTTCTGGTCGTAATTTTGAATCGAGAGCATGTTTTAGTCTCTCCAGGATGATGCTGCTAATATTTTGCTTGTGGTGGACAGGAGTGGAACATGATTCCGCGCCAGTTTTTGCAAAGACTTATCATAGTTCACCCTTCTTTGGGAGTTTGACATGGTAGCTCTTCTTCCAATCAGTAGGCAGGTACCCTTCTTTCCTTCCTTGCGAACTTTCTGCAATAGTGGTATGGTGTGATGTGATCATGTCTGCTGTTGTCTCTGTGTATGTTTCAGTGCTTCTGGAAGAATTCCATCTGGTCCTGCTGGTTTCCTGGCTTTCAGTAACTTTATGGTGTTTAGGACTTCACTTCTGTCTGTATGTGAATGCTAGTGTTCACGGATAGTTCTGTGACTGGGCTGCTGGTGTTATTTCTGGACGAGTTACAGGTGGTGATGGTGGTTGGTTGAAGAGTTTTCTGAAATGGTCAGCCCATTGTTTCCTTTATTTCTCCTTTTTGCTATCTTCGTTACCTTCACTATCTTTCATTGACTTCATCTGTGCTGATCTCTTCCCAGATAGTAATCTGGTTATTTGATATAATGTTGTTAGGTCTCCGTCTTTCCTACCAGCAGCCTGTTCTGCTTCACTTGCCAGTGTGTCGTGGAAGTGTCTTTTGTCTTTGCGCGCACTCTTCTCCACTTCTATGTCCAGTGTAGTGTTTTATACGTTGTACTCAGTTCCTCTTCTCGTCGTTCATCCTTGCACTGGTTTATCTTCTGCTTCATCATCCTCCTCTCCCTGCTATATCAGCCTCCATGTGTCCATCGAGATCCATTCCTTATCTTCTTTCTTTCTGATACGGTTGTGCAGGTTTCTTTCCCCATCTCTTTCAAAGAGTTCCAGTGTTCATCCACACAGGTTTCTTCACGGATCTTGCTCGATATCTCCCATTTTGTCTTGATGGCTGACGTGAAGATTTCCTTTGTAGTTTTGTGCTTCAGTTTCTGTTGTGGGTGTTGAACTTGAACTGTGGTCTATCACCAACTTCCTTGAAGGCTTTCAACTTGATTTGGAAGGTTCCTTGCACTAGATAGTGAGAGGTGTGAACCTACATCTGCTCCCCTTCTTGACCTTGTGTCAAGTAGTCTGCATCTCCACTTTCTTGAGATTGAGATGAAGTTGATCTGATTTCTAGTGTGTCCTGGTGTCTGGTGAAATCGAATCCATGTCGCTTTGTGGATATCCTTGTGCTTGAACACAGTGCCTCGCCTCCAATCACCAAATCGTTGAATGCACAGAATTCTGCAAACAATTCTCCATTCTCGTTCATTTCGCCGAGTGCTTCTCCACCCATGATATATGAGTTCTCTTCCTGAGTTGTCCGCTCCCAGTTTGGTATTCATGTCACCCCACCCCACCCATTAGAATTTTATTTCTCCAACTAAGACGGGGTCTTGTCTAGTGTTGATTACAGTTGTCTGTAAAATCCCTCCTTTTTCTCTTGCTCTGCATTATTTGTAGGTGCATAGTGTAGCATTGTATGATTGTGACCTTCCTTCGTTTTGAGTTGAACCTTGCTGTCATGATCCTGCAGGAGGAGATTGGTTCCCACTGTATGAGAGCCTTCGATGTATTTGGGGACATCATGATAGCCACTCCCTCAGTGTGCTCGTGGTTGTCGTGTCGTCTGGGTGACAATATCGGAGTAGATTATTGATTCTCCAGTTGACAGTTTGGACAGTCCACTCCCATTACTTTAATGTGATACCTCTTCATCTCGTTTGCAATCTGGGCAACCTTGCTAGGTTCATACATGGTGCGGACATTCCATGTCCCCACGTTTACTTTCGCTTCCGTCGAGGGAGAGAAAAGACATTGGCCGATTTGCTTTCCGAAGAACTTCACCAACTGGCGTCATTTCATCTCTCCAATTCCAGCGAGGAATAATTTTATTTTAATTTTGTGCTTTGAAGTTTCTTTAGTGGTTTGATTTGTTTTCCGGGGTAGGGTTGCTAGCCCTATGCCCAACCTTTCCTCTTTACCCGGGTTTAGGACCGGCTAGTAATTAGTGAATTAGTTAACCAGACGAGGTTACCAGCAAACAAGGCAACCGATATTTGTTACCATTCACTGTGAGAGTTCTAAGTCCCTCTTCTATAATCACAATAAGGAAGTTTATATCTCCCAATCAATCTGTTGACTGACTTTTTCTCCTTCAATTCCATTCAACTCATGATACTTTGTCAGTGTTGTCGATTACTATTACGGGGAGGTGAGCAGCCATATCTTTCTGCACCGCTAGTTAGCTTGACTTCTCACATTCCTCATGGTTTTAAAGTTAAGTTTGAAGCGGTGGATTGATAGCCTAACTCTTCAGTCACTGGTTCCAACACGTTGATCTTAGTGACTAAGAAAGGAATCCCGGACTCACGTTTCATCCTATTTAGAACTCATCAACTGGATGTGCCTACATTCCAGTGAGCGATTATGTCCCCATTGAAACTCGAATCCCTGGATACTGTGTTTAAAATGCGCGTCCTGCATTCCGTTTCTAGCCACTAAGTAAAGTATAACTTAGTGAATATTTAGGCAGTATTGAGACATCCGATTAGAAGCCTCTCTAGCAACAAACGTCGAGCTATTTCATTCAATATGACGATTGGAAATTACAAGTACCAATAAGTAACATTAAGCCTTCCTTAGTAAATTTAGTTTTTGAACTCAAGTTTACTGTACGATTAAGTTTTCTGTTGCTTTATTCATCTTCAATATAGCGTTCTCATTTGACCGGTATTCATTGGAAGCACTGAATATCTGTTTCGTCTTTGTATGGGACTCACAATTTGTCTATGCCTCTCCAACTGAAGGCAGTCCGTGATGAATACTGCCTTAAAAGTAAAATCCTCATAAACCTAAAAGTATATTACTGGATAGTAGTCATTAGTGATATACTTTGAGATGGATATCCTGAAGTTTTAATGAGAAGCTGTGACCAGTATGGTCAATCATTCGGAAGTGAAGTGGATGCCGACTGAATACCTCGGTGGATGGTCAGGCTTATATTATGAATTGATAGAGGTGGGGAACTGTGGAACATTGAACTGTGACCCAGTGTCTGGATGGTTAACGTATTCGCCATGACACCTGAAGGTCCGGGGTTGGAGATGTGGTCATGAGTGCATACTGCACAAGAACCCTATACCAGGCTGAAACGACTGTTACACACTCTCAAGGTTTCGTTGGTTCTCCAAATGACGTCAATCCGTGATGAATACAACCCTGAAATAAATAAAATCTGCACAAACCTTTAACGAAATCACGTTATTGTTATGATACTTGTGATTTCCCGTTGTTATACATGATTGAATTGCTCAACCCTCGTTGGCAGGCAGATGGGCTGGTATGCGTATGCCTCCATACTGCCGGATATTCATGGTATAACGTTGATCTCGGTGACTAACAGAAGAATCCAGGGCGCACGTTTCATTCTATTTCTTTTACTTCAGTATAAGCAGTTAAGGGTTATCTCTTAACCCGAGAAGAGAAATGATATATCCTAGTTGAAAATTTGTTTATCTGTATTGCTGGTAATCGTTTCAAATGATGCTAACTACAAATATGATGTGAATATAACTTTTACTTATAAACCTTATTTACAGGTGATTTCAGGATGGACGTCAGTATGTGATTATAATACATGGGATCAAAATTTAATTATTGGTTTTCATCCATTTCACTACAATATGTATCTGTGTAACGGTTCCAGTGGCCATGGGACACAACATGCAATTGCTATTGGTAAAGCAGTCTCTGAATTAATTCTATACGATCGATATAGGACATTGGATTTGACACGTTTTTCATTTGATCGTTTACATTTTAATGAAGTTGTAAATGAGAGTTATTGTTTCTGAACAACAATGACAAAGTCTCTACCTCTCTCTCTTTCTTTCTTTGTATGGATTATAACAATGATACATGGAGAATGGCAGTGTTTGTCGCTAACTTGTTCTACTCTCTTCAACAAGGATACAACTTGATATTAGTTATAAATCTCAGCTTTTTTGAAGTAAATATTTTTAGCAGTTTGTGTAAAAAGTATGCACAAAAATAATCCCTGTCAACTTTTCATTCAACGCCGAATTATTTATTAAACTATCCGGTTAAATGTTAACTAGGATTTATAATAAAGTATCCCGTTTTTACTTCTTTCTTTTAATTGGAACAGTCTTACAGGATGGGAAATACATTCGTCTGTGCTGAATACAACATTATAGTCATATGAATCACTATTAACAGAGGATCCGGCATTACTGCGCGGAAGGTCTAATTCTGAAATGGTGGATGATCCTGATTGCATTGTGTTCTCTGAGCTGGGTTGTTTAATCGTGGAGCTTTCATCACCTTTCAAGATGACATCATGAGCACAAAAATCATCTGCATAATTGTGGTCAATACTACATTGGACAAAGCGATCGCCCTCTTCGCCTCCGTCTACATGAACACCAGTCGGCTATTAAACGTCGTATACGACATTTCATCATTCATTTTATTGCACGTGGATAATTATGTACACAAATTCAATTTTGACAATGTAGAAATGTTGGACGGAGAGAGGAAACACAAAGAATATCAGAGAATTGTTAGAAGGTTGGCATTCAGGTCAGTCAGTCAGCAATCAATAAATGTATAGACACAGACCCAATCTATCAACCAATGAGAAAAATGATGAACAACAGAAAGGTGAGAGGTGAAGCAGAGAAACAGCCAAGAGGAAAATCTATGCAGTCAGCCAGTGACACAACAATCGAAGGAAACAACCAATCACAAACTAGTTTCATCAAGGCAAGCTACTACATGGCTCATTTCATATTGAAGTTAGTGCTGATGATGTCCCCTAGAAAGAAAGGTAATGAAAACTCCACGATTAAACAACTCAGCTCAGACAACACAATACAACGAAAAACGTCCAATTCTTCATACCTCTAATCAACATACATGCGAAATAAGCCAAGGATAAGAGACAGTAGGGATAACATAATCAAAAGTTATAGGAACAGAAGAAGAGGAGATAAAGTCAATCTGCGCCACAGAGATCGATTCTGAGTTATATGACTTACGGTCTCCAACTATTGAATTCAGTGTACCTAAAATCAAAAGGTCTGCATTCCTATCTACAACTCCAACCAACATTCAGAGAGTTTATGGGCTGATGTTACATTTCAGCGTGACTCCATTTTACTTCTTTTCCTGACTAAACTCACTTTATCTAATATCTCACGTCTGGGTAGGCACGTTTAATACATGTCCCAGCTAGGTATTCTAATCGATAAAGGTGTACAGCCTTAGCACTGACTGATGAAACCAACGTAAATCCTCACATTACGAACTGCATCTGTTTAACTTGCCACACTTCACAGAAGTACACAAAGAATGGGCGGAATGAAAAAGACTGACCTCTAAGTCGATAAAGTAGCTTAAGAGAATAAATAGTCTGAAGAAAGAGGTTAGTACGGATATTCGAGCTTTAGATGTCAAAGAGTGAATATATCTGCGACATTGTCACCAAGAGTCCCCAACCACTGATTCCTTTCGTCTATATCGCACACCAACAATCAAGGACTTCCTCGACTGATGCCAAATCTTGGTCTAGCCACCCTGAAGCCTTTTCTAACCTCTCCTCATCAAATGGCTTGCCTCTTTTACGCAAGACTCTACGCCTTACTTCTATATTCCTCGTATAATACTCTCACACCATAAGCAATCCTACGAAACCGAAGTGGATGGGATATCTGAAATGTTCCCATGTTCTCCACCTTTAATGGGGTTGTTTAACATTCATATAGTCATATTATGAAGATATTTCTGTGTGTCATAATTCAACAATTAAACCTGTGACCAATACACTCTGCATCCTAACTATTAGGTTGTGGAGCTAGTAACTTGATGGTTTCTCAGTTTGGATTTGATCGCTATTGAAGTCTCTTGTCACCACTCAGCAGATGTGTTTACAGGGAGACTACATCTATAGGTCAGTACACACATTTCCTTAGTCACGTACTTATTTGGTACAAAGCAAACCTGATTAAATGCCTCACTAACAGGGCGAGAAGAATATTTTCGGATGACTGAATACATAAACAGTCAGAATGCATTCGTAACTCATTAGTCGAAATGGGCTACCCTCACAGTTTCATACAAAGACACATGAACAAAGCGAGGAGAAATAAACCTGGAATTATTACCATTCAGTACAAACCGCTGTTCATGAAATTGCAATTAAATGGAGTTGTAACTAGAAAAGTTTTATATCAGAGGCTCTCCAGAACTGTTGAAAGGACTTTCTGCGCCTGCGTAACTCTATATCATTCTCCAGCCGACCAACTGTTGCCGCCCAGACAGAAGATAAGTTATCATCTTTTTACCAACTGAGACAGCCGTGTCTTGGTAGACTAGTATTGACACTGGGTGTTAAGTGAAGGTGACATGAAAATTTGCACCGTGGCCGGATTCGTATCAGAGACCACCAGGTTCCCGTCCCGAGGCTCTACCAACAGCTACGAGGTCCGACTGCAGACCAGATTTTTATTTCCTTTCAATCACCATAAGTTTTTCCCGACTACCATATGAATTCGTAACGCATTAATGCCTCTTGGTCGCATTCACACTGGCTGCCTAGTTAGGACTTCCCATCTCAATCCAAGTCTAACTGAATTAGAATGAGAGGGGGAGCATCATATTGATTATCGCTTACTACCGAGCCGGAAACCTGGTGGTCGCTGATTTGAATCCGGCCGCGGTTCAAATTTTTATTTAACCTTCAATCATCACTCTGTATCAAAAGATGTTATCTAGTTCTGCCATTTCTATGTATATTTACAAGTTTAATTGTTCCTGCGGAGAAACCTATATAGGGCGTACTATTAGACAATTTAACAGACCTGTTGCTGAGCATCTACCTACATGGTTGGGAAAAGGACAGATGAAATCCATCAGAAGTTATGTTTTCTTTCATCTCGTCGATAGTCGTCACTCAA